ATCACAAAATGTCTTGTGTACTTTGAAAAAAAAAAATACAAGGCATTTTGTAAATGGGCAGGTAGTGAGGAGGGATGAGGATGCGACCAGAGCACTTCACTGCTTGAATCGCATCCCTCACTCCCCGCAGTGCCTGAAAGCCGAGAGTTATGTGTAGGAGCCGGCATGCTGCAAGGTAAGATTTTTATACTGTGCAGCCGTCACATAACGTAAAGATTTTTAACACGGTGTGTAAATTTATCATTTTTTTTTCCCCAGAGTTTGGCTTTCAAGACAGAAGATTTTGATTCTTACAAATGCCCTTTTGTGACTGCTTCACTTTATCACTGTTATTCACAAAAGGGTGAAGAGTTTGGAGAAAGCAGGAGACGTGAACAATCTAGGATAAAATAGCTGAACTGGAAAGTGATCTGAATTGGAGAATTTTTCCAAATCAGCTATGTTGTCCTAGATTGTTCACTTCTCCTGCCTTCTCCAAACTCTTCACCCTTTTGTGACCAGTGCACTTTAAATGTCGGTGTTGATAAACAAACCCTGTCCTCTGTTTTCCACTGATAGAGCATTATAGTTCCGTTGCCTACAACCAGAACACACGGATCGCTGTACATGCTTTATTCACAGTTCAGCTTTATTATTTGTACTTCATTTACGGTACTTGTTTGTCTTTTGCAGTCTGTCATAACTCCACGCAGCCTGTCTTCATGGAGTGCAGTGCCTGAAAGAAAAGAGGCAATTTAAAATACCAGTCATTGTTTAGGCTAAAGAAGACGGTTACCGCTATGGAAAAGATGACGTTAAGTTCTCAAGGCCACATTACTGATCACGCAAGTAAAAGGTAAGATTGGGAGCCATTTTAATTGTTCAGACATTTATGAAAATTATATGCACACAGCATATTGGCTTTATTGTTTCATAAACATGCCATTGGGTTAACCTTTAAAGAAGAACTCTGGGGGAATATTTTATTAACCCTTGTAGTGGGGCTAACCTCGCACTGCAAGCGTTAAGTGCTTGGTTTTGTCTAGGTGCTAAAAAAAAAGAAGAAACAAAAGTATATACTCACCCTAACTGCTTCTCCAGCACTTTACCTGCTTCACTGTGCTTCTCTGATCACTAAAGCGTGTCTCCTCCTCTTCTGCACAGATAGAATGTTCCTCCGAGTTCTCACATCTATATAGTTATATAGTAAAAAATAAAACCCCCAGTGGTGATTAAATACCACCAAAAGAAAGCTCTATCTTCCCCAAAAAATGGTATAAAATTTGTTTCAGTACAGCGTTGCATGACGGAATAAATGTCAAAGTACCGCAGGGCTGAGCACTGAAAAATGGCCTGGCCAGGAAGGGGGTTTAACACCCCGGTCAGCAAGTGGTTAATAAACTCCTTTTTAAAAAAATGTATTTCAGGTCAAAATCATTTAAGCGTGAAAAGCAGAAATTCTCTGATTTGGATGAAATTGGGGAACTCCGTTTGCAGCTTAACAAGTCAAAACATGATAATATAGTTCTGATGTCAAAACATAACGAAGAGGTGAGTTATTTCTCATAGACTTCTATTTGTTATTGAAACTCCAGCCAAATCTGTCAGATTTTTATTGCTTTTTGGGTCCCCATTGGTAAGATTCCTCCTCACTATTGGCCCCGATAACAACTGTTAACGGGAAGGAGAGTGTGCGTTGTCACTGGAACATGAGAAATCTTCCAATAGAGACACCTGTTCTAGTGTCGGCCATCAAAATTTCCCTCACTTTCAAGAGTTTTCTACTCGCTTCCTGTTGTTACTCTGGCACAGGAATCAAAGAGAGATTTCCCCAACAGGGACATAGACAGACAATAATACCGCAAGATATTCTAAAGCTGGCCATACTCCTATAGATTATCTGCAGATTTTCTATGGTCAGATGGAAAAAGTGCAAGAGATTCCTCCATCTACGCTAAACTGTGTGGATGGAGGAATCTCCCTTTGGGCCAAGCTTCAGTATCTTGGTAGTCGGCCAGCGTGGCCGACTAGCAAGATACTGAAGCTTGGCCCAAAGGGAGATTCCTCCATACCACAAAAGATATTCTAAAGCTGGCCATACTCCTATAGATTATCTGCAGATTTTCTAGGGTCAGATGGAAAAAGTGCAAGAGATTCCTCCATCTACGCTAAACTGTGTGGATGAAGGAATCTCCCACTGGGCCAAGCTTCAGTATCTTGCTAGTCGGCCACGCTGGCTCTCAAAATAGCTCAACCATCTAATTGGATGTAGGCATTGTTCAGGTATTTTGAGAGCCAGCGGGGTCGACTTGCAAGATATTGAAGCTTGGCCCAGTGGGAGATTCCTTCATCCACACAGTTTAGCGTAGATGGAGGAATCTCTTGCACTTTTTCCATCTGGCCATAGAAAATCTGCAGATAATCTATAGGTGTATGGCCAGCTTAACCCTTTCTAGCTCTACTCAAAGCTAAAAACATGGGTTGGTTTATAACAAAATGAATACGACCAAATACTGAGGTGGCCAATATCTGATGATTATGATTTCTCCCCGGATTCATTCACAAACAGCAGTTTTATTGCAGTGGCGTAAATCTGTCACACTTTCACATAATCCAACAGAGCAACAGACGCAAAGCGCTATGACACGTTTATTATATGAAATGTGACGTCCTGATGGGTCTGTCCAATTTCTACGTCAGATTAGCAAACTGCAGCACGTCATCAGATGCAAGGGCTGCTACTTTATTGATAAATATCCCTCATTATATCCTGGTTACCGAATGTGTTTGGTTCACTATTTATTTGATGTCTTTACATGGCAGTGTGGCTTTTAAACTAAAATGCTGAAGCAGTTTAATAAGCTTCTTGTATAGACCAGCTGCAGAGTGTGTTGAAGAATTTTGTTTAAAAAAATTCATTATTTTAACTTAACCTAAAACTATATTTGCACAGGGTGACAATGCTAAGCTGATTTCACGGCAGAACAGACTGTATTGTCACCCTGCAGAAGAATGTCCAGTGTTGAAGTGTAGCCACCACAAGAACCATATAGGCTTCAACTCACTCCCTCTGACCCAGTTGAGCCCCCTTAGGTCCAAGGCCCACACTGTACATGGGGCCTGCACTTATTCAGAATTAAGCCTTGTCCCCAGGCAGGTATACAGCTTAGGATCTAAAGGATCTGCACAGGAACTAAAACAAGTTTGCAGGCACCAAAATGTTCCTTCATTTCAATGCTGTTCTTGGCTTAGAAGTCTTTTCGGCCATGTCAGCTTTACTTAATATTTGTATGCATTGCATTTAAAGAAAGACTTAGCACCTGTGATGTATTGGTTTAATTTGAACAGAACTGCATGATAGCAGTTTTGTATTAGCTGATTGTTTTATATTTCTTTCATTACTTTGCAGTTGCTGGCTTGTGAGAACCATGTTACCAGACTTCGTTGCGAGGTTGAGAAAGGAGACGCAGTTCGTCAAAGTCTGGAATATGATTTGGCAGTGGCGAGAAAAGAATGCAGTATGGAAAGGATGGCTCTGGAAGAGGAGAAAGCCAAGGCCATCCGAGTACAAGAACATTTTAAAGGTAAAATTGTCCTAAAACGATCATTCCACATGGAGTCCATTTAATTGGCATTTATAATTCAATACATTTTTATTGGTTTTTGGTTTCCATAACAATCAAGTGTAACAGACGTATACAAACGTAAGGTATGACATAGGGCTACACTCTATGATATTTCCTTACAGTTCATGTAGTGAACAAATCTCCGAATGATAACGCCATGCAGCAGCAATCGGTAGGCTGGAGTTGCAGACCGTGAATCTAGTGCAACTATGTAACGTCGTGTATATTCAAACTAGGATAAGGAAAAAACCTCCACCACCCCAACTAGGGAAAGGGGCGAGGATGGCCAGGGAAAGATGAGAGCAGGATTAGGATGGAAGAAGGACAGGGAAAGAAAGTGGAAGAGAGAGTGAGGTAAAGTAGAGCTGGTCCTTAACTGGTGATTGCCTGCTCCCCGAATTTAAAGTGCCAGTAGGCGATCATCAAAGGAGTGTGTCTGTAGATATTGGATCCATGGGTTCCAAATCTGTTCAAAGCATGAGACCTTGTCAATCAACCGTGCCGAGAGACGTTTCGTTGCCATGTATAATGTTGATTCAGTTTTGCCCCACATACCTGTGATCAGGCTGCCACTTCTGCAGAAGGATTTTAAACTGTATTTTCTTTCGGTTGGGCCTGATAAATGTTTGTGCTCTGAATCTCTTTGATTTGACATTCCCCTTTTATGTGTTGAATGTGAATGTGCTGCCTGTGTATAACAGGGAATGGTTAGATCCTCTTTCACTTTTATTAATGGCTGTCTTTATCCTTTTGAGGAATATTTCCCCTGTTAGGAGAGGAAGTGATGGGAAATCTCTTTTACAGGGACAAAGACAAAAGCAAAAACACATTTCTATCACAGCAAGGAAGGGTTAGATTTGATTTTTTTTTTTAAATGTTTTTGTTGGTACCTGTGCTTTTGTGTCCCAGTGACGCCCACAGGGCCGGCGCTACCATATAGGCAGGTCAAGCATCTGCCTGAGGGCGCCGCTGTGGGGGGCGGAAAGATGCGACTGGGAGGGGGGCCTCTTTAAGACGGTCCCGGCCGCGGCAG